GAGGGTTCTCGACCCCGCACAACATGATCTACTCGACCACCATTCATAGTTACCGCCGAAAAGGAACAGAGGTAAAAAAATACACGGTAACCTGGTTGCCGAGTTCACGAAGTGAATTGGCTTGTTTTACAACGTCGTTGCCAAGCGACGAAAACCCAATCCCGATGGCAAACACCGGGGGGGGCGGCTTGTTTTACAACGTCGTTGCCAAGCGACGAAAACCCAACCCCGATGGCAAACACCGGGGGGGGCGGCTTGTTTTACAACGTCGTTGCCAAGCGACGAAAACCCAACCCCGATGGCAAACACCGGGGGGGAGGCGGGGGGGTCCCTTTTCTTTTACCACAAACTCGATGAATTTTATACTTCGTGAAGAAGAGTAAACGGAACAGAGGTGTTTACCTTGAGCCCTTGCTCCAATTTGACAAAAAAACGGTCCCGGTTTCGGGCGCCGAACGGTCCGTGCGACGGGTACTTCCTGTCCAAATACCGTCTTGCATTGGCCACGAAGTGCTCCAAGAAACTACCTCGCATACTCTGCACGCGTCTGTCCCAGTCCTGGGCCCCCTTTTCGACGTTTGTGGATGCGGTGAGCTTCTGAATAACCTGCGGTATATTTCAATCGCAATGCCATGGGGATCCGGGTACGGGGAGGGGGGAGGGGGGCAGGGGGTCCTGATCGCGTGTCATGTCAGTGATATGTCATGGCTGTATCCCCGGTGCGGGTGAAGGACAACTGGAAAGCTGTGCAATAACAGTGCACATCAATGCCCGATCTTGATTTCTTCAGAACGACCAACAAGTAGGTGAACACCCCAACGGCGAGCGAGTGACAGTACCTCGAAGTCTGCTTTTTGGCAGATAAGCTTGGCCACGCGCTGAGTGTTGCCGGCGATATATTGCTGAAGCTCGACCGTGAGCACAAAGCGGTCCTGCAAAACGGAACGACCGATGACGCTGTGGCATCTTTTGGTGTGCGTCGCTGAGACAACGGAGATGTTAGATCTGGAAAACACCTGGACCGCAGACCTTAGGATTGAGTCTTCGAATTCGCTGAGCT